TTATGAAATAACCAAGCCTAACGCGTTAACTAAAAAACCTACTGAAATTGTGCACGTTTCAAAATTAAGAACTTATTACCCTCCTGAAGAATTGAAATTGAGTCATGAATAATAATAATTACACTAAAAAGAAAACACACACATACAACTACACAAAACCAAATCATTGTCCTTTTGCCCCTCTTAGGTGGACTCCCCCTTTCCACTCTTGAGATGTTCTTTTTTTTACTGTTGTGATGTGTCAGAACAAGAAATGATTATAGATCTTACAATGTGCGAAACATGGGTCCACCTCCCAATCCATTTTGGATTTTTTCCTGTCTTCATCTCGATGTACTGTTTAAGTTTTGGAGGAGTGTGCATTCTTGGATGGAGGCAGGGAAGAGTCTGAATTAAATTCCCCTTCCTTAAAAGTCTTGGACTGTTAGGTTTACTTTTAGATGAGGAAGTCAAATTTTTGAGACAAACTTGGATGTTTTCATGATGTTTGTCATTGATATTTTGATATTTTAGGCTACAATTATTTTGAATCTTATTTTCATTCCATTTCAAGTGTTCCTTATTTTATTTTTGATATTGTGTATTTTTATATCATGTTTAGTAGTGTGAATGTGTTATTACATCAGCTCTTCATGAAAATGTGAATATTTTGGAGCAATACTTTGATTTTTATTGCATTTTGAATTTTATATTTTGAATGTTATTTATGGGTACCCATGTGTTACAATTTAACAGTTATGTTTTCATATTTTTCTAGTATCTAATTTCTGTGTTGGAGATCATACTATGAATGTCATTACCGACACAAGTGCAAGAAGTTTCATAATTAATAATTTATTCAAAACTTTAAAATTAATTTCTCTGTAAGGTACGGGTCTGTATCAAGGGCCCTGGTGCACGCCCGCGTCTTACGGAGGGGGGAAATGTAATAATTCCCTCTAGCATTCTCTTTAATTAACTTTTTTAAACAATATTGAAATCTTTTGATTATTTGGTTCAGAACTAACACTCTGATTTTAATCGTAATCGATGAATATTATTACATCAGAAATTCCTGTCCCGCACTTTCTATCCAATCAGAGCTATGATTGCGTAATCATCACGCACTTGCACTGTTGGTGGAGAATAAAAACAACTTGTGTAATGACGTTCCTTGCTCTATCCTTTTTTGCCGTCATAATGTACTAGTAAATATAGCTGTTTCTCCGTGTTTATGTGTTGTGTCCGTCAAGATGTCACTTTTGCTTGTCCACTGTGTTTTAATATCATCATCATGAATTGTTTGTCTCGTCTTTGTGAAGGTGCATTATAATTTTGTCCTAAACTTCGATGTGTGCGCCACAATAAAGAAGATATCTGTTCACTGAAGATGTGTATTTTGATGAAGACCTGCAAACACTCGTCAAAAAACTACCACTCGGCCAATACTTAACATATATATATATATATAATCGTCATCTCTATCTATCTATATTTCATATCGCTGTATGTACAATTACTCATTGGGTTTCCTTTGGAAGAAAGTGACAATTAAACCTTCGATAACACCTTTAAGAAACACCCCCTCCAGATTAAAGAGGAGAGGGATATTTTCTCTTGAGAATAGTTCGAAATTGAGAGATCTATGGCCAATAACTCATGTTATTTTTCTAGAGTGACTTTGTGTTTTCAGTATTTGAAGTTTTTAACTACGTACTTAAAATATACTTTACAATATCTTCAACATACCTAACACAGAAATTGAGAATTAAAATACCTGTTTCACTTAATGACTTTGTACAGTAACAAAAATCAAACTTGATTATCCCCGCAATATTTAGCATAAAAATTAATTATTTTTATTTTGCTTTTTTTCTTCATCTGTTTGCTAGAGAACATCTGTTCTGTATAAGAAGGTTTTGAAATTCTAAAAAAATAATTTTCGGTCTATAGATCGATAGGAGTAGGTGGATAGTATTTATTATTTCTTAAGCTTTCTTTAATCTTTTTTTACCAAGATTTTGATATTATTTAAATGTTTAATATAATATTGTAGTCTCATAAATATATAAAGTTTTCTCCTGCAGTTTTAGCTTAATATGCATTAAGCTGTATTGATGAACACCTAAGCTCTGAGAAGAGCTCAAGCTTCAGCCGAGTTAAATAAATTAATTGTACAATCTTGTATATTTTGAAAGAGTCTAAATAGAGAAATAATTTTTAAATACTAAATATATGCCGTCAGTGAGAAGGATATCAAATCAATACACACAGGAATTTCCATAAAATAGAGAGTTTAAGTAAGTATTTGTATCCCGAAGAGTGACATTTTTAAAGTCGTGACTTTCGAGGAACATAAGTTAAATAATCACGAAAATATATGAAAATATTAAAAGGTAATCTATACATTTATCAAATGTTTGAAATCATTTATGAGTAAAATCTTAATACTTAAGCTATATGTAAGCGTTTTAAATGATTTTAGTATTTGAAAAATAGTTTAATTTTTCTTGCATCTTTTCATCTTTTTTTTATATTTAAGGTATCTGTTACGTCAATATTTGTGTGGACTGTAAAACTGGTTAAAGAATAAAAAATCAGTCTTTTTCGCAACGCTAAGCCTACTTTATTCGTGCACCCGCTTTTGTTGGGGTACAGCTAGACAATGTCTACCTTTACAAATTTTTTACAGATGGCGCTACAGTGCGCTGATGACGTAACAGTATCCGACTACGTTCGGAGCCGTGATTTTAAAAAAGCGCATAAATGGATACTTTTAATGATATTTAGCGTCACTTAGATTAGAATACATGTATAAAAAACAAAAAAACTATTTAAATACAATATTTTGGCAAAAAATTAACTTTGTGATTTCTCTTTAAATTTGAAATTCTCCTTTTGTGAAAAATGCTTCTATTGTAACAATATTTTGCCTGTATATCGCTCAGACTTCTGTACAGAGGCTCAACTATGATTTTTTGGAAAAATTCACATTATTTTCAGAGTTACAATCCATTGAAATAATTTTCGGCGTTTTTTTCTTAAAATTTCTCCCCTCTGATGTCGTAAAACGTGGATAAACCAACTTTTAAGTTATATATTTAAAAATTCTAGTTGAACCTCTGTACAGCGGTCTGAGCTGTATATATACAGGCGAAATATTATTATGATAGAAGTATTTTTCACAAAAGAATATTTTGAAAATTGGTCATTCTATGTTCATTTTTTGTCAAAATATTGTACTTGTTTATTGTAATACTGTTCTTAAAACAATTTTATATACATTTTCTAATCTAAGTGACACTAAATATCATAAATGTTATCCATTTATACGCTTTTGCAAAATCACGGTTCCAAACGTAGTGGGATACCTTAAGCAAAATATTTTTTGAAATTTTATGTATTCAGATAGCAAAATGATTATAGAGCGTAGCATAACTATTTTTCCTAAATTTTATAATATTTTTTGTTTCTAAAATCCCTTTTTTTCTTGTATACTTGTATATCTATGTATACAAAAATGGATGTTTGTATTTATGAAATCGCATCACTCTGGCACCGTTCAACCGATTACTATGAAAATGGGCATGTTTATGTATTTTTTAAGGAGAAGGTTATTGTGCTATTCTCTTTGTTTTATATCCCTACGAGGTGGCGTTACAGCATATTAATTTTTGCACCGTACAATCAATTGCCAAGTGGCCAACAGGATCGCCAAAAATGACGTCAACTTGGCTCTATCGCCAACATTTCGCTACGTATCTATTGAATGGCCATTATAATGTATGGAACGGTGTTGCTTGTGATTATTACAAATTTAATGTAAAATAAATACAACAGAAGTAATATTAGGGTATTACGCATCCAGGTATAAATTATTTACATTATTTTAAGAGTTAATTACATAAAATTTGTAACAATATGTTACTTTTGCTAAGCAGAGATGATCTTAGGACGGTGTATTCAAAAATCGACCCACAAGAGAGCTAGGAGGTGTTATAAATAAAAAAATCCTCTTTTTATCAGTTATTAGATCTGCAGGTTTAAAATTTTACAGGTATGGTTTTTTTTCGTAAACTGAGATATGTAAAAAGCTGTTTTCTTGTTTAATTTTTAATTCAGGTAAAATTAACTCCTTCAAAACTTCTTTATCCTTCAATCTGTATTGTTTAATTTTTGAATTCAACCATGCAAAGAACGCGTATACCAGCTAGTATATGTATAAAAGTATAGACATAACTTTACTACTAAGACATCTTCAACTTTCGCGTCAAACCTTTGAATATTTATCCCTCCCAGACCTTTTGTATTGACATGATATACTATAGGGGAAGAAAAATAAATACCTAAGGCAAATAGTTACAAAGTAGAAATGAATGTTGATCTGTCTGTGAAATCCTATCTAGAAATGTCGCAAGATTTTCCGTTTGCCGTCTGGGGATTAGGGCCTCAAGACTCGGGATTCTTCTTTCCTCACGTTTGCTGAGAATTTTATTTTTGCTTTGGCACGTCTAAGGTCTGATACTTTTGAAGAATGTCTTGAATTACCATACGTTTATATCAATTGAAATATCATACACATCTAACTCTTTTTTTACAGATACGTTCTTTAGAAAACCATGTAAAAATATATGCGACATATGATCAATTTGGAGATTTGTTACACAATTTAAAAAAAATCGTACACGATTAAAAATCTCTAAATATTTTCACAAAACACCACGCAAATAAGTAATAGTAAAAACTATGTAACATATTTATAAAGAAAACATTTTTTTTAACAAGTAATATAAAAAGTTAAGTCAATTCCTACTTAGGTCAATAAAGAAATTTTTCTATTTTTTAATTACTTTTTATTAAATAATTACAATCAATATAAATATGTACATACATATGATTAAATCACACTATTAAGTGGCAAAATAGAAAACTATTTTCCTTTCTATATATGGTGTTGGACTATTATTTTTGTGTTTGTTACTATTTATTCATTCATAAATCACATTATCAGAAATTAGGGTATTACAAGGTGGGATTCGAACCCACGACCTTTGGATTAGAAGTCCAACGCGCTATTCGTTGCGGTACAGCGAGCGACTTTCCTTTTATATAGGGTGTTAGATTACTATTTTTGTTGGCAACTATTTATTAATTAATTAAGTTCAACTAATGAATTAATATTTGAAAAATCTGTATTAACATCAAGTGTCAGCCACTACAAGTTTTAAAAAAAATGTTTTTGAATTTGAATCGATGAATAGAAAGTATATTTTATTAGCGATTGAAAATTTGAATATACATATATTTAAATATATATAAATCAATCAAAAAATGAAATTATATAAATTTTGTAATACTAAATCTCATTTTAAAATATCAACGGCAAATATAGAAAGTAAAATACCAACATTTTCAAACAAAATTAAATTATATATATATATATATACATGTACGAAGGTGGTCTGAAAAGTTTCTGATCTCAACGTGAAGATGGCAGAGCACTTGTCCATAAAAGCTCATGAATTTCGTTGGTCATCTGTTGACAGTTACTCACCAAAGTTTCAGCCATTTTGGACACGAAGTTGTTATGTAACAGTCGTTTGAATGAGTTGATATGAGTGTTTTTGTGAAAATGAACACAAAATCGAGTATCGAACTCTCATTAAATATTTGTTTTTGAAAGGCAACACACTTACGCAAATCAAAGATGAGTTGGATTCTGTGTATGGGGACTCTGCGCCCTCATTTACCACAGTGAAAATTTAGGCAGCTGAATTTAAACGTGGCCGTAAGAGCTTGGTAGACAAAGAACGTTCGGGATGTCCAAATACTGCAAATATTGACGAAAACATCGCCAAAGTTCACCAAATAGTGCTGGACGACCACTGACTTAAAGTGAGAGAGATAGCAGAGGTTATGAACATTGTTTGTCACATACACTCATGGACAAAAAAATTAGCGCAACAAGAGGGAATCGTCAAAATGATACGAAATTTTACATACGTAATGACTACTTTGATATAAGTAAATGATTAGAAAATCAAGAAAAAGTATAACTTTTATTTCAGAGAAAAAGAACGGAGGATGTAATACCCTGTTGAAACCCCTCTAGCGTGAATGCACGATGCGATACGATCGGGCATTGAGGCATACAAGTTCTGTATGATGTCTTGAAACATTTCGTCCCATATTCGCTGTGACCTTGCCTCTAGTTCGTGCAAACTCGTGCGATGCCCAACTCGCCATCCCAAATAATTCCAGATATGCTCGATTGGAGACAAATCTGGGGATCAGCCAGGCCAAGGAACTGTAGTAACAGTACGCAGACAATCTTGTGATACCCTTGCCGTGTGAGGCCGATTATTGTCTTGTTGAAAAATGGCTCCTGGGAGCCGTTGCATGAGCGGCAACACATGTGGTTGCAGGATGTCATGGACATACCGCTAGGCTGTCAGGGTGCCACGGATCAATACTAGAGGTGATCCTGTGTTGTAGGGAATGGCACCCCTACCAGCTGTTGGAGAGGTGTGTCGCTGTAAAGCAAAGACAGGATTGAGGCGTTTACCTCCGTTTAGGAGAAGAGAAGAGAAGGAAGATAAGAATAAGAGAAGAATTGGGAGAACATTGGTTCTCCCCCACAGTGTTACATAACGGTAATAATCTACGTCATCTTTTCCTAACAAAGTTAGTTCACAAATTGCTTTTTGCAATGCTCACTCGTCTTTTCTTATGTGTGTATTCCTTCAGTATAATACCAACGTCTGACTCTTTTAAACTACTTAGTGGCTGACTTGAGAAGAGCGAGAAACCTTTACGTGTAAATAAGTTTGACACATTGAATAAGATTGTCAGAAAATAAATTATCATCGTTATTGTACGGTTAGGAACCTGAATTAATTTCTTATGACGCCGTTTTGCCTGTAAGCCAGTGCTTCTCTAACTTTATACATTGGCGACCCAAAATTCAGTCATAATTTTCATTGCACCGCCTTCCCCTCCTCCATACAATAAACATGTATTTAATTCAATAACAATATACAGTACAGTCCCGCTAATCTGAACACGGCTAATCCGAACATCCGGTTAATCCGAAAGGCTCCGCGGAAAATTTTTTATAATTTTAAGGACGAAAATCGGTGAATATTTCAATATAAGACAGTGTAAACCTTAATTCAGAACAGTTCTTTATTTAATATTCACGCACTGTACATCAAGTTATGGTACAAATTTTAAAATGGAATAAACTACAGAACAGAACACTAATGTTTAGTATGAAAAATTGTACAACATAAGATTAAATATAAAATATGTACAGTACAGTACAGTACTGATAATGTAGTGAACAAGTACCTTATTACATTAATTCAGTTATTTTTTTCTGACGCAACGAAGACAGTCTTTTCGATGATGCGTAATGTCGCCAGCGCCTCATAAATAACACATCAGCTGGTGTAGTGTCGGGCTGTTGCTCCAAGTAGCGCAGGGCAAGGTCAAGGGCAGCTGTGCCGTCTGCATGGGGCACCACGTCCTTCTTATCGCATTGCGTCTCGTCGTCACTCCCCTCCTCCTCCATTGGCTCTTGAGTCACTGCCGCAGCTATGTCGTCATCAGTCAGAAATTCGGCTGTTTCCCCGTCTTCTTTCCTGGGTAAACCAAATATGAAGCGCATTATCAACTTTATCGTACAGCGATTGCTTTGCTGTCTGTCTGTTTTCAAGAGTCTCGCCAGAAGAATTAGCACAGTATTGTTCAAGCTTTCTACGATTTTTTCTCCAATCACAAATTGTAGCTTTGCCAACATTAAACTCTGTAGCCAATTTTGTCACACCTTCACCTTTATCTAAACGCTTTAGAACCTCTAGTTTGTCTTTAAGAGTAAGTGTTGAGTGTTTACGCTTACTCGCCATAACAATCTGTTTACGTACACTGTATCACAGGAAAATGTCCAAAACACACACAACAAACTGTTTTCACTGTAGAATATCACACTGTAACACTGTTATTAACACAGAGACAAAAGCGGACGAGTATAGAACGAGCGCGGAACGACTGACGGCCAACAGTACGGGCACACGCAGTCACACTGACACACTAAGTTAGGAGTGGTGGAGGGAGGACACACGCGTCGAGGAGTGGGAGTACAGTCCACGCGGCAAAAAAGCGGGCGCGTACGCTCACATTACGACAAAATACATAGACACAATAGACCCGTACTCCCGGTTCAAATAGTGATTTCGCTGTTACTCCGGCTAATCCGAACAATCACGTAATCCGAACAGGGGTCGGTCCGATATTGTTCGGATTATCGGGACTGTACTGTACTTTGATGCTAAAGCTACAGAGCAACTTTAACCTCTTAAGTGCTACGAGCTTGTATAAACGTCTCGCTCAGCCTATTACCCCCAAGCCCCCTAGAGGGGATTGCCCCACAGTTTGAGAAACGTTGCTGTAAGCAAACAAGTGCCATGTTGTCTTTCGTTAAAGTAATACAAAAGATATTTACTGAACTAAAATTATATTGATATAAATTATTTCCTCCTATTTCGTAAAATTTTACTGTTCAATTAAATAATTGTATCCCGTGGTTAATTGTGAACACACTGTAAAGAGTGTTTTTTTCCAGGTATAGATGTTTAAGTTGGCATTACTTTCCAAGATGGCGACCAATTTAACAGCTGTCAAGTGATTTATTCTCAGTTTGGTTTGGCAATTTATCAAAACGATCATCAAGCAAGGCGTAGATTCGTCGAATGGGCCCAAAACGAGATTGTCGTTGTTCCCGATTTTCATAAGCGAATTTTGTGTCGCGATGAAGCGCACTTCTGGTTGAACGTCAACAAACAAAACTGCCGCATTTGGAGTGAAGTTAATCCACAAGTGTATGTCGAAACACCGTTACATCCAGAAAAACTGTCTGTTTGGTGCGCTTTATGGGCTGGTGGAAGCCTTCTTCAAAACCGATGAAGGCCACAACGTTACAGTCAATGGTGATCGGTATAGAGCCATGATTACTAACTTTTTCATTCCTGAATTGAACAATCATGATATCCAGGAGCTGTGGTTCCAACAAGACTGCGCAACAAGTCACACAGCTCGTGCCACAATCGATTTATTGAAAGACACGTTTGGTGACCGCCTAATTTCACGTTTTGGACCTGTGAATTGGCCTCCAAGATCTTGTGATTTAATACCGCTAGACTATTTTCTGTGGGGCCATGTAAAGTCATTGGTCTATGCGGATAAGCCACAAACGCTTGACCATTTGGAAGGCAACATTCGCCGTGTTATTGCCGATATACGGCCACAAATGTTGGAAAAAGTCATCGAAAATTGGACGTCCAGACTGGACTACATCCGAGCCGGTCGTGGCAGTCCTATGCCAGAAATCATATTTAAAATGTAATGCCACAAGAGTATCTTTCGAATAAAAAAAATTCATGTCAATCGAATAATACATCGTTGTTTTATTGCAATTTAAAGTTCTATACCTCTAAAAAAACACCCTTTATGTACATATTCAAAGAGGAATCATTCAGTAAATAATTTACATAAAATAATGTGAAACAATCATATAAAAATATCCTATTATCAGCTAATATTTTCCTTTGAATAATTCTCACGTGATTAGGGTGTGTGTGTGAATCATTTCTTTTTCCTCCTCCTCCAGACTCTAATCAAGAGTTATTTAGAAACATGCTTCAAACAAGATAAAGTTTAATTTTCAAAGGCCTCTAGAAAAAATAACACAGGAAGTATAAAAGAAGCCTTCCTGTATGGATCGAAATCTTTATTTCTTATAAAATAAATCATCTTACATAAGCATTCCAGTTTTCTTTTAAAATTTAAGATTCTCAAAATTGCTTTATTTTCAATATAAAAATAAGCATTTGATCTCCTAAAATGAAGTCATATTTTATTCTTATTTTTATTGATTGCGTGTTCCGTTTCACGTTGATGAGCCTGGAGATTAATGCATTTCAGAAATGAAGATTTTCCTTATTGAAGACTTTTCATCTTTTAATGTTCGGAATTGATGTATTTAATCAAGAATAGTGAAGAGCATTTGTTTGTATTATACCAGTAATAGTAAAGA